TGGAGGCCAAACTAACCTGGTACTTGCTAACTCCACAGAGCGGCCCATACAGGTCAGGCTAGGTGCCCAGTTCCCTGGTAGCCTGGTGTGTTTCTGAAAGAATGCCCATTATTTTTATTTCCCTAAATCCTAGAAGTGGAGGGGGGCTGATTCTGATGACAAAAGAGTATTTTTTTTTTACCACTGTAATACTCTGAAACAGAGAACAATAGTTAGAATATTATAGATATGTCACGTATTACAAACTAATTATAAACAGACGACTTATTCAGTTCCTCAAAGAGGAAAATTCAGGACTGTATATAGTGAAAGAAAAAGAAATGGCAATGGTCACTTGTTTTCACTTAGGAAAATAATTTTAATCATCATTAAATATATACATCAAAGCTGTCACTATACACTTTATATACTCTCTCCAAAACATACCTTTTCAAAATATCTTGTACTTAAAAAAGACTATTGGATATGTCACTTGAGGGGTGCCTGAGTAGCTCGGTCAGTTAGGTGCCCAACTCTCAATCTCAACCCAGCTCTTGACCTCACTGTTGTAAGTTTAAGCCCCACTAGGGCTACACAGGGGCATGATGTCTGCTGAAAAAAAAAAAAAGTCACTTGTATATTTTTCATGTATATGCGATTTGAGAACTAATGGATTAAACATAACTGACCAAATGTTCACAGAATAACTCCTTTAACAAACGTATATGATATGGGGGTGAGGGGAAGAGAAGAAACATGTCATTTAGAAACTTGGATTTGAAGGGAATAAGAGAGAACTGAGATGTCATCTACAGGATCCAGAGGGACCTTTGTTTGTTAATATGGGAGTGATTCACCCTTATTTGTTCTCCCTAACAGACTAATGGAGGAAAAGGAAAGAAAGTGCCATCTTGGTGACTCTTCACCACTGTTGGCATTTTGCCAACCAGGTATAGCAAAAGGATAAATGAGAATGAGGGCCAAGGTTAATATAGAAACGGAGAAAGGCTGGGAGAAATTTGTGGCCTGTGAATATGTACTGGAAATAAGGAAGTAAAATATAAGATAATGGTAATGGTTACAAAATGGCTCAGTCAGTTAAACGTTCAACTTCAGCTCAGGTCAGATCTCACGGTCCGAGGGTTTGAGCCCCACATAAGGCTCTGTGCTGACAGCTCAAAGCCTGGACCCTGTTTCAGATTCTGTGTCTCCCTCTCTCTCTGCCTCCCCCGCCCCCCACTGTTCATGCTGTCTCCCTCTGTCTCAAAAATAAATAAACTATTAAAAATTAAAAAAGAAAGAAAATGGAATACTAGACTTTTCGATTTAGGGAGTGAAGCTATTTCAGATAGTAACGAGATTCAGATGTGACAACAGCAGTGGGGTGCTAATGGAGGGTGGAAATAAAGGCCACATGGACTCATCAAGAGACCATACAAGCCATTGAGGTAGGTCATATGTATAAACTCAAACATCACCCAGTGTGAGAGTGAGATGCAGAATAGGTAGGAAGAGTATAAGTGAAGATGCCACATTATTTGCTCAATGTGAGAAGTTACCTAAAGATCAGAGGATGACAGTGGCAAGCAGGGAAAGAGAAAAATGGCACAGTTGAATGACTTAAGCCTTAAAGGAAGAGCGGGTTTTAGAAAAGGAGTTATTCCTTAAAAAGGAGTTTTCAGAAGCAGTCTGATCACTTGTGAGATCTGTAGGGAATAAAGTGTTAATAGAGAAATCATCAAAGCTTTCAGATGATTTTTAAAAGAAACTAGAATGGACTGAATGTTGTTTCAATCCATAATGACACCACTCTCAGGCAAATTCCATTATGCTTCCACAGTGAAAAGGGGGGTTGGCATTACAGCTAGTATGCTCAGAATTGTGCTTAGAAGTGTGTGAATATCATCTCTCATTAAGTGGTGGTTAAAAACATGAGAGTTGGCTTGGGGACTCAGGATGACATAAAACCTGCCTTCAAACTCTAATGGAAAGAGCTTCTGATAAAGGAAAGACTCATCTATGGCTTAACAAATGGCAACAGAAGAGATGATATCCAAGGGAAGTTTGTGAAAGATAGGAGCCTCGGAGAAAATCATCTATACATGAGTGAGGAAATAAGACTTCAGACAGCAATCTTGACAAGAAGGACTTGTCTCTGGTAATGAAAACACTGCTAGAAGATTTCTGTCATGCTAGGACAGGATGAGGTCTGTGGGGGTTTCATGGAGCTAAAATGACTGTCACATGGACAGTTGGTGAGAAGCTGATGTGAAGTCTCAAGAAATCCCCCCATGAGAGAGGGATTAGATACTTCTCAGTCCAAACTCATTGCAGATAAAAGTAACAAAGCCTCTTCCTTCCCATATCTAGTGGATTGAAGGACTCAGGAATGTAGTTTCCTCAGCATTCAAATGAGACCATGAGGCTTCATTTGAAAAGCTGTCAAAAACACCATAAATATAAATCTAAAACTACCAGGATAAAGGGTAATTGTTATGGGCTGAATTGTGCCATGCTCTCCCATTCATATGTTGAAGTGCTAACTCCTACTATATCAGAATTTGACTGTCTTTGGAAACAGGATCTTTATAGAAGTAATTAAGTTAGAATGAGGTCATAAGAGTGGGCTCCAATCCAATATGACTGTGTCCTTATAAGAAGAAGAAATGTGGACACTGGCAAGCACTTAAGGAAGACAATGTGAAGGCACAGGAATAAAACAGCCAACCACATGCCAAAGAGAAAAGCCTAGAACAAATCTTCCCTCTCAACCCCTCAGAAGGGACTAACTCTCCCAACAACTTGATCTCGAAGTCCCAGCCTACAGATTTAGAGAAAATAAATCGTGTTGTTTAAGGCACCCAATATGTGGTTCTTTGTTAAGGCATGCCTGTAAAAACTAATACAGTGATTTACACTGTTGTTCTTTGCTACTGATGGTGCCTTCTGGGTTAATCACAAAGCAGAATTCTAAAACAAGGCTGAGGAGGAACTGTGTTGAAGTCCTAAAGCCCAAAGTGCAGCAAATATGTCCCTTCTAACCTCCTAACTCAATGTTCTTGAAATTTCACCCATTTCAGACAGGGAAATAACATCTGGCCTAACATAATCAGTGCCTTCTACACCGTCTTCCCACATCTGATACAAGAGTAACAGTACTACAATGAAACGATCTTGATCAACTTTTTTAAAAAAACAGGTTTTTTTTTTTTATTTTGGTCATACTGCTATTTCATACATTTGATTATGACATTAATTCAGGCACCTCCCTAAGAGTGCAGGAAGAGGTATTAAAAACACAGACTCCATCATTTATGACATTAACACTTACTACATATTGTAAGATAATATAATATAGAGTATGATTCCTGTCTTAATGAGGCCACATTTTACATTTTATATTGTAACATTTGGGGAACCACTTATTACTTTATATGATACTTTTTATGATACAGAAAAATAAATATATTTGGTAAGGCTGGAAGTAAAACAAAATATATTTAAGGTAAAATATATTTAAGGTAAAATATAATTGATAACTCAAGAAAATAAAGTAAAAGCAGTGGAATTTGGATTCAGTTATAGTTTTAGTTAGATTACAAACACAAATATTTTCAATTTACCTTAAAAGTACTTTCAAAGACTACTATTCATCCTAGATACATAATAATTTATTTTTCTTCTTTTTAATTTTTTTAATGCTTATTTTTGAAACAGAGAGACAGAGCATGAGCAGGGGAGGGGCAGAGAGAGAGGGAGACACAGAATCTAAAGCAGACACAGAATATGGGCCATCAGCGCAGAGTCCAACGCAGGGCTCGAACTCACAGACCACGAGATCATAACCTGAGCCAAAGTCAGATGCTCAACCGACTGAGCCATCTAGACATCCCAATTTCTTCTTCTCTTTGAAGACAATATGCCAAGTATTCACATTTAATATATACTAAAACTACCAGGTTTTCAAACTATATGATGTACCAGCAACAAATATACCATTAGCATCCTACATATCCTTTAAAATAGCAATAGTATAAATTGCACTTTATTCTAATAGTTTACTTTTATAATTACAAACAAAAAATTTATTGTATTGATCAAATCTCATTGCAGCAGACAGGGACCACTGGCTATTAAATGCTATATGAAAGAAGTAAGAGCATAATTTTATAAATATTTTCAACACAATTACTTAAGTTATGGCAGGATAACTCATACCAGGTCTTTAGGCAAGAAATGTTATCTGTCAATACAAGAAGAGTCCTTGTTGCTTTCTGCCACACTTTCTAAAAATGGAAAAGATGTTTGGGCAAACACTTCAAAAAAAGGTATACAGAAGGGAAATAAGTTTCTGAAAATACACTCCAATTTCTTAACTTTGCAAGAAACTGCAAAGTAAAACTACCCAGAGATTCTACCACATACCTATTTAAATGGCTTAAAGATGGACTGCACCAAATTTTAGCAAGGATAGATAAAATTCGAATTCTCATCCAACGCTGATGGTAATATAAAATTGCACAACTACTTTGGAAAACAGTTTAGCAGTTTTTTAAAAAGTTTTATCTATACCTACTGTATACAACCCAGCCATTATACTTCCAGGTATTTACCCAAGGGAAATGAAAACCTGTGTCCACACAGAAACTTGTACATAAATGCTCAAGAGCAGATTGATACTTAACAGCCCACACCTAGGAACAACCCATATGCTCATTAACAAGTGAAATGATAAACTGCAGTGCAGGTAGGGGAATATTACTCAGCAACAAAAAGGAACTGATAAACACAACATTGATGAATCTCAACAAATTAATGTATGAGAAAATGCAGACAAAGAAGAGTACAGATAAAGATATTTTCCATATGTTTAAAAGCCTAAAATTAATCAAACTAATGTATAATGACATAAAGCAAACCAGTGGTTATTTGCAGAAGAGGTAGAGGCAAAGATGGATGTGAAGGAGGGAACATTAAAGAAGCAGAAAAAAATCTCTGGGGTTGCCAGAGGTGTCCATTACCTGTTGTGATGTTGCTTAACAGACATATATACTTATCAAACTGTATACTTTATATGCAGTTTATGTTGGTTTTCCTCAATAAATCTGTGAAAAGTATAAAACAAAAATGCCTTCTTAGTTACCCTAGACCTCTGGATTTAGAGGCAACTGTATATTGAGGGATTCCCTATACAGTATCTGGGACTCCCATGAGAGGGGCTTAATCAAGGGATCAAGTTCATTCTGAGAACCTTATTCCTACACTGCAAATGACATTGAACAAGGCATTGACAGATTCATACAAGGGTAGGGCTCAATGAGAGTGTTAAAAAAATAGCATCAACAACAAAGTATTTAAAGAAAACATAAATATAAGATACCATTTTTGAAGGGTGATTCATTATGAATATATTTATGTGCGGCTAGACAGGCATTGTTTATTTCTTGACATGTAGTACTATATATATCTTCAATGATATTTTAAAGTCATTTTCTCTATATAAGCTGGGAATTTTGTTTCATGGAATTTCCTCAAGAGATACTTCACAGTCCAACTATGGTCATCCTTTAAAAATCACTTTAATCAATGTGTAATTCATAATTATGCAATTATTTTATGATTCACAAACATTATAAGTGTAACAAATCAGATTAACCTAGGATTTTAGACACTAATTGACTTAATTAATAAACACCATCCCTAACAGTATGCATCTCCATAAATTATTATTTCTTCTATTTTCATGTTTAATTGACTATAAAACGTGCTAATATATGAGTGAAGAGCTAAGGCAAAAAAATATTAGCACTCAATTTTTGGTAAAGTAAGAGAAACATGCAAAATATCTCATGTAAAATTCCACTTTCCTTTTTTTAAAGTTTATTTATTTATTTTAAGAGAGAGAGAGAGAGCATGCACACACACACGTGTGAGAGAGCAGCAAAGGGGGAAAGAGAGAAAGAGAGAGAATCCTAAGCAGGCTTAACGCACAGCACAGAGACCGATGCAGGGCTGGATCCCATGATCAAAACTGAGATGACAACCTGAGCTGATAACAAAAGTCCAGTGCTTATCCAAGTGAACCACCTATGCACCCCTCCACTGTCCTATAAATATTAGAGTCTTAGAAATGGTTTTATGATATTTTAAATATCATACACCCAAAACATATACTACCACAAAGGAAAACATGATAAATGATAAATGCAAAACTATTTGTTTTATCTAATGGAAAGACAGCACAGGAGTTAAGACTATAGGCTCCACACTGTTTCCTGTTTCACTATTCACTGTCTTGTGACTTTGGGTTCCTTACTCATGACTCTAAGCCTTATCTTCCTCATCACTAAAATGGAATGATAATAGTTCCTATTTCATAATATTGTTAATTTTATTACTTAACCTATACATTATAGCAAAAAATAAATAAAAAAGACTTTGCACGTTAGAAGAACATTTAATGAAAGGTCTTAGTTATTAAATGTTACTTATCATTTGCTTCAAATATCTCTCAATTGCATATGAGATCTACAGTTAATCTAAGGTGCTTTTGAGGAATACAGAAAAACACAGTAAAGCCACAAGCATTGTTGGAACAAAAGCAATGTCTAAAACTGCCTCTATAATAATATCTTGTGGTAAAATGCATTTTCAGACAGAAGCAAATGTGCTTCTCTGTAAGTCTACATCCACCTGTATAATCTATATCAATGAATCTTAAGGTATTGTTCACAACCAGAATCTTAAAATTCTGGCTGTGAAATATATTTGGGCCCTTATATTGCCACAGATTCTGGCCTTATCATGAGCCCATTTGGCTGTCAGGGAAAACTGAGGCAAGGTTTTGGATAGCTGTAAGCCCATACTTGGATTCTCTGCCTCGAAGCTGGAGATTGCTGAGGGTAGGGTGCTGTCACATTTTGTGGCCCTTCTAAAACCATCCCTCTCTTTTCCAAAGGTAAAATTTCTAGCCTCCCTGATTCCACACATCTAAGCATACTTCATGGAATTTTAGAGTTGCAAAAAAAAAAAAAAAAAAAAAATTCAGTCTGGTCTATTTTGATCTCCTAATTTTATAGATAAGAAAGCTGGGGCCAGAGTTGGACTCAGCCAATGTTTCTTTGGATTCTGGCCAGTATTCTTTCCAGAAGACCAGGCTTAAAAGAGGAACCAGAAACAGCTGATACAAAGCTATAGAACAGATATGTCAGAAATTTCTAAATAAGTTTTGACTTACTAAAGCTCCTAGTGGAGCAGAATAAGAGAGATGGAGAACCAGAAGTATGAATAGAGAAAGTAAAAAAGGACAGAAAAGGCAAAAAGAAAAAAAAAAAGATTGAAATGTACAAGAACGTCATTTTTAATGACACAAGCCAGCATGCCTTAAGCACCTCGGGGAGAAAAATATGAAGAAAAATAGAGGAAAAGTGGGGACTTTAAAAGGAAGAAAAGAAAAAAAGCACGGGAAAGATAAATCAAGGAAGGTACAAGGGAATAAAGAATAAAAAAGAAAAAAAAAAACAAAGAATGGTGAGTTTAGATATCAACCCTATAAAAAAGTTACACTTCTGTCTTGTTATCTAATCTTTAAACTTTTGCTTGTTAAAAGTTTTGATTTACCAATGTTGCTACAGGTAATGAAACATCCTTAACAATTCTTGATATAAAGCTCTTATATTTCAACTGCCATAAACCATATAACTATTTAACAGAATGGTTAAGAATCTTGAACTCTCAAGAAAATAAGAATTAAAGAAAAAGAGTAAAGTTGCTTTTATATGGTCAGATTATCTAGAAATGTTAGGATTTTTTTACTTGATTATATTTCTATTCACAAGTTTTTAAATTGTATTTACATTTTAGAGTGTCTTTAAAATTACAGTTTTTTTCTAATTTTTCTCTTAAAATTCCTTTCTTCAAGTGGCAAGATTTTTAAATAATATGCCTGAATATATTATTTATTTTATATTAACCAAACAGAAATTGGGTAGCAAGAAAGTCCTGATTCTTTTCTAAGAGACTCAGAGCCCTTGATAAATCACTTCTTGCCCTATGCCATTTATGCCATTTAATCAACCCCAGTATTCAGATTTCTCTTCTGCTAACCTATTTCCACACACGTGGTTGTTTCTTTAAATCAGCACTACAGCAATTGACAAAGTTTATTTTAGTAACCTCATACCTTGTTCAATGTATAAAATACTCATATGTAAGTCTGCCAGATATTTTCCAAAAATAAATGCCGGTTATTTGAGGACATTTTCTAAGACTCCCTTTTGATATAACCTTATGTGTCTGAATACCAAATTTCAGGGTTGAAATTGTTGCTGCGGTACGAAATTGGTGAGGGTGATAGCACTAACTGCCAATCGATTAGAAATAAGCCAGCACAGCAAATCTACCAAGAAAATAGAAAATGTAAGAATATGTGTGAATATGTCTTACACTCTTCCTATCATAAACAGTATACATACATATGTATATATTTAAGCAAATATATTTACTATACATTAAAGTACATGATAGATATAAAGATATATGGAAATATTTAATATATAAGTATATGTAAGTATATGTGTATCTATTTGCATATACACATATATGTGTACATTTTGTTCTTCAGAGGAAGTCTACTAGACACATCCAGAAAGCAAATGTACTCTATAATTTTAGTAGTATATATATTGTTTATAGGCTGGGGATTTCTTAAAGTTAGTTTCTATAACCAACGTTTATAAAATATTATTATTTGGTTTAAATGGTTGTTATGAAAACAAGATCATAGCTATATCTGGACCAAGGGAATATAGGTCTCCTGATTCATTTTAAAAATTAAGTTTTTTTTTTATAATACAAAGCAACTAAGTCATTTGAAATTACTCAAGATCAAATTATTTTTTAAATAATACAAAATTTAGTATCTGTAATTTCTGTAATTTTCTATATCAGTATGGTTGCTTAAAATTTCATAAAAGAAATCCTATATAACTACAACTTAACTTTAAAATCATAAAAATTAGTTTATACATGTGCATAATTATTTCTTTTTCTTTCTGTGATCAAGCTGGTATTTTTGATAGTAACTAAAAAAACCGTAATAACGTAGCCAATGGTAAGAAAGTCAAACGCAAAATCAGTACGTTACTCATCTTTATTTGAAACAAGCCTACTGATGGGAATATAATATTTTTGACATTTGTCCTCAGTCTACAGTAGTTCCCTCTTCCATATGGTCTAATACAGATATAAGCTTTACTTTAAGCAATTGAACTTTTCACACCCTCAAAAGCCACAAAATCAGATGGTCTGTGGTTTTTGCAGCTGGTGCACTGCACTCATTTTGGGTAGTGTCATATGAAAAATATTTCCCTCCCCAAGACTTAGACAGAATCAGTCATTAATGAAATGCAGGCAGTACAATGAGATCATATGAAGTATGGATTTCAACAGCCATGCTAGGAACTCAGAACATGAACACAAATCAAACTCTTACTGCCAGAAAAGAAAGAAGGAGAAAAGACTAAGGAATGCCCTCACAGACGTAGCATTTGCTTTGAAAACAAGTGTTAACCACTACCTTGAAAGAAGTTTTAGTTTAAGCATTTGCAGACTAAGTAATCATATGTTGGTTGTAGAAAAATAGAAAATATCTTCAGACATAATATTCTATTACAAGATTATCTCGCACAATAGATGACTATCAAAATTTAAAAAAATGATTTTTCTCATACCACATATGGAATCTGCTTACATAATAAAATTGGCTGTCATCAGTCTACAAAATTTTAAAATACTGTCTTATTTGGGACACATCCAATAAACATTAAAAATAATGTTTATTTTTTTAGTGAAATATTTTAAGAAAACTATACAATTCAACAACAAGGCTGCAAGATATTCAAGTGGAAAGTGGTGCAAAAATAGTGTATTTAGTATTCTTATTTTTGAAAGAATAAAAAAACACTGTTTTATATTTCTTGTCACAACAAATTGTCTTCATTCTGAAGTAAAGCAATTTTAAATATTTCTATTTCCAATCCATTTCTCTGTTTATACAATTCTTTTAAAATGTACTCACTCCTTTTACAAATGGGAGTAGATTTTT